TAGCTTAAGGCCTTTATTTTGAATGTGAAGAATTTTAAATTTGTCATTAAAAGAATGATTATGATCTAGAAGGTGAAGTGCGTATGTCGAATCTGTTTTTCTATTCTTGAAAGCCCTTTTATGTTCTGCTATTCGTTTATCAAAGTTTCTACCAGTTTGACCGATGTAAGTTTTTGGGCAGTCGCCACATTGGAGTTTGTATACACCACTATTTAAGTGTTTTTTATTTTGGCTCTTGTTATTTTTAATATATTTGCCTAGGTTGTTATTTGTTCGGAAAGCTGGTGTTATTCCTTTCTTTTTTATGTGTTTGGCAATTTTTGTTGTTATTTTGCCTGTATATGTAATCGAGCAGAAGGTACTGGGTTTTTTCTCTGGTGGTGGAAATACTAATTTCAGGGCTTTCTTGTGTAGTTTTTGATTTAACATTTTATTAATTGTTTGTTCGTTGTATCCGTTGTTTACTGCTATTTGTTTAATTATATTTAATTCTGTCTCAAAGTTGTCTTTTGACATCGGAATTTCTGTTAATCTATGTAACATACTATGATAAGCTGCCAGTTTATGTTGTGTTGGATGGGATGACGAATTGTGTATAGTCGTGTCAGTATGGGTAGGTTTATGAAATATGGAGAAGTCATGTTTGTTTTGAAGTCTGCTAATTTTAAATCTAAAAAATTTATGGATTGATTTTGTTCTGTTTCTATTGTAAATTGAATATGACTATGAACTGAATTAATATATGATAAAAATTGGTCGAGTTGCCTGTTAGTTCTGTGAAACATACCAGTACGTCGTCTACGTATCTCCACCAATATAAAAACTGTTTGAATACGGGATGTTTTGAAATCTTTGTCTCTAGATGATCCATAAAAATATCTGATAACAATGGGCTTAGAGGATTACCCATTATAAGTCCTGCACTGTTATTTGTATATATTTTATTATTAAATTCAAAGTAGTCCTGGTTTATGCAAACTTCAAGAAGATGTAAAATTTCAGATGTAATTATTGGATTTGTACTATTTTGGTCTAAAAGGTTTTTTACTAGAATAAAAGTTTCTGTAGGAGGGATACTAGGAAAAAGATTTTTTACGTCAAATGAAATTAATCTGGAATTGTTAGGTAATTGAAAATGTTGTATTTTATTAACTAGTTCTATTGTATTTTTTATGGTAAATTTAGGTGAAAATTTAGTGTGGTCTAAAATAATCTCTAACAGTTTTTATGAAATTTTATATGACGGAGCTGTATAAAAAAGAAACTACAGGTCTTATTGGGTGATCCGTTTGTGTAGTTAATGAAAGAATATAATTTAGGAGGCGTGGGTTCATAAAATTGAGGATTTCTGTCTATTGGATTTGATAAACCAGGACTACTTTGAATTTAATATTAAAAATATTACAATAACAGTGCAGGACTTATAATGGGTAATCCTCTAAGCCCATTGTTATCAGATATTTTTATGGATCATCTAGAGACAAAGATTTCAAAACATCCCGTATTCAAACAGTTTTTATATTGGTGGAGATACGTAGACGACGTACTGGTATGTTTCACAGGAACTAACAGGCAACTCGACCAATTTTTATCATATATTAATTCAGTTCATAGTCATATTCAATTTACAATAGAAACAGAACAAAATCAATCCATAAATTTTTTAGATTTAAAAATTAGCAGACTTCAAAACAACATGACTTCTCCATATTTCATAAACCTACCCATACTGACACGACTATACACAATTCGTCATCCCATCCAACACAACATAAACTGGCAGCTTATCATAGTATGTTACATAGATTAACAGAAATTCCGATGTCAAAAGACAACTTTGAGACAGAATTAAATATAATTAAAACAAATAGCAGTAAACAACGGATACAACGAACAAACAATTAATAAAATGTTAAATCAAAAACTACACAAGAAAGCCCTGAAATTAGTATTTCCACCACCAGAGAAAAAACCCAGTACCTTCTGCTCGATTACATATACAGGCAAAATAACAACAAAAATTGCCAAACACATAAAAAAGAAAGGAATAACACCAGCTTTCCGAACAAATAACAACCTAGGCAAATATATTAAAAATAACAAGAGCCAAAATAAAAAAACACTTAAATAGTGGTGTATACAAACTCCAATGTGGCGACTGCCCAAAAACTTACATCGGTCAAACTGGTAGAAACTTTGATAAACGAATAGCAGAACATAAAAGGGCTTTCAAGAATAGAAAAAACAGATTCGACATACGCACTTCACCTTCTAGATCATAATCATTCTTTTAATGACAAATTTAAAATTCTTCACATTCAAAATAAAGCCCTTAAGCTATCTTTGTTAGAATCTATGGAAATCAACAAATTAAAAAACACAGATATAATTCTGAATGACCAACTTGAGACAAACAGTTCTCCCCTCCTCAACCTATTTCATTAGAGACTATAAATTTGTAAACCCAAGCCAAAATAGATCACTTGAGAAAGGCAATCAGCCGAAACAGCTGTAGTGATAATATTTAAAATAAATTTTGTGGAAGTTTGAAAACAAAGTTTTCAGTGTTTTATTGTTACATGAAATTAAAGCACTGTGTGGTCTATTTAACTGAATTTTTGACACTGGGATATTATCAACTGATGTCGACATTTGTTGCAATACCAAAGAAACATCGTACAAAGACATGCAATGATTATCGGACAACAAGTCTGATGAGTCACATTTTGAAGATCTTCTTGAGAGTAATATTTAGCAGAATATAGACAATATTAGAGGAGGTAATAAGCAATTTTTAATTCGAATTTAGGAGTGGGTTGGGTACGAGAAAAGGCTTGTTTAGTATCCAAGTTCTGATCCAGCCTCTATCCAATCAAAATGTATACATCTCTAATCGATTTTGAAAATGCTTTTGACAAGGTCCGAAATAACAAAACCCAAAAAATTATGAAAACAGCTGGATCGGACGATAAAGATTCTTAGACACAGCGTAATTTCAAACGTATTCTGCGATAGAATAGTAATTTTGAACAAATTTAAAAAAAATTGGTATCCGATGTTTCTTGAAAATTATTTGCATTTTATTTTTAGCAAATCTACCAGTAGTTTTCAAAAAAGCGTTACCAGAAATTATTATTCAGGAAGTTAATCACCAAACAGAATCAATCGAATGGACGACATGCTCCTGATCTAAATACCCTAACTTTATTAATCAAATCAAAATTCAGTTTTTGCATAACCATTCACAACTATCACATTTACGATCACGAAACTGTCACGTTTTTCTGCAATCAATAAATAAAATCTAAAATACAAATATATATCGATATTAGAGCACGCATTGAAACTTACTCTCTAGGAAAATATGGACTTCAACCAGTCTAGTGGAATCCTGTATAAGTACTATGACAATGAGAGATTCTTTCAATATAAAAAATATACAGAAAAGTAACAAACAACGAATCATCAAGAAAGAAAGATTCAGAATTATATCCCAGAAAAATGTTTATCTTAATAAGGCCACTGTCTTGATAAAGAACAGTGAATTCTAGATGACTATTAGGTATGTAATCAAGATTTAGGATAAGTAGACCTACTTTTTGGTTGCTGTCTACGTTTTTCACCATACCGAAAAAAACTAAGGCAATGCAATGTTCAGATCATCGAACAATCTCCTTGATGAGTCATCTGCTTAAAATATTTCTTAGAGTCATCCACAACCGAATCTATCAAAAGTTAGATATCGATATTAATGACACAGATGGGATTCAGAAAAGGATTAGGTACAAGAGAAGCTCTCTTTGCCTTAAACGTCCTAACACAAATATGTCTAGATGTTAAACAAGAGGTACACGCCTGCTTTATAGACTTTGAAAAGGCCTTTGACAAAGTACGCCGCAATAAACTCATAGAAATCCTGGAGGGTAAGAACATCGACACCAGAGACATACAAATAATATTAAATCTGTACTGGAATCAACGAGCTAATATAAAAATAGAGGACCAAACATCGGACGAAACAGAAATACGTAGAGGAGTACGACGACAGGGTTGTATATTGTCACCGCTCTTGTTTAATATCTACAGCGAACAAATTTGCCAAGAAGCTCTCTCACATGTAAATGAAGGGATAATAGTCAATGGAGAAGCTATCAATAATATTCGATATACTGACGATACTGTGATAATGGCAAGAACAGCGGAAGATCTACAACATCTAGTTGAAAGTATAAATGAGATATGTAATAACTACGGCATAAGGATGAACGTCAAAAAAACCAAATATATGACCTTCAGTAAGAACCCAATACATGACACTAGTATAGCAATAAACGGTACCCAACTCGAAAAAGTAAGCGAATACAAATATTTGGGAACCCTCATCAATGAAACAGGTGACCAAAATCGCGAGATAAAAAGACGTATTGAAATTGCCAGGTCTACCTTTATAACAATGAAAAAATTATTTTGTAATCGTGATATTAGTATTCATCTACGAACTAGAATGTTAAAATGCTATGTATTCAGCACTTTGCTTTACGGTGTTGAGGCATGGACTCTTAAAGAGAGGAATGTTAAAAATCTTGAAAGCTTTGAGATGTGGTGCTACCGCCGTATACTAAAAATAAGTTATAGATTTAATAAAAAGATTTAATAAAAACTTAAATACTTAGGCCACCTGATGAGAGGACAAAAGTACACATTCCTACAAACTATAATGCAAGGAAAAATCCAAGGACGCAGAAATCCAGGCCGTAGAAGAATGCCCTGGATGAGAAATTTAAGAGAGTGGTTTGGCTGTACCACTAACGAATTATTCAAAACAGCAGTAAATAAAATTAGAATCGCCCTAATGATATCCAATCTCCGATAGGAAAGGCACTCTAAGAAGACGAAGACCTACTTTTTAAAAAAATTATGGTGACAATTGTAAAAACTCTTTTAAAACTTAAAATATTATGTTTAATGATTCTTACATAATAACTTAAATATACACTTACCTCGGCCTTACAACATCTGCAGAATCACCTTCAATAGAATTTAACTGCTTAGTTATATATTGGGAAATATCCTCAGATGTATTGATAATCATCGCATATGCAGCCATCCACCACATATACAGCTCAATTTTGATATCTGATAAATCAGCTAAATAGTTCATAATAGTTTTCAAGAAAACTTTATCTAATTCTGTTACGTATAACGAATCATTTAAAGTAACTGTAACGTTAGTACCATTAAAAAGATACTTAAAATACGGCAATAAAAAACTTTTTTGGGGTTTGTTTAATATTGCAATTATTTCTTTGTCGAGATCCATAACTGTAATAGAGTATATATCATCTTCACTGAGCTCTGGATCAGTAGTATTTGTTTGTAACTAAAAAATATTAACTTATTACAGTATTCATGCATATCCACATCATTCTATATTACAGAAAACTTTTCTAAACATTTTAATTAATTAAGGCTGCGTAAAAGATGAAATATTAAACAAATTTTTTTTCGATAAGGACATCACAGGTTCCATTTGTATGGATAAACTTGTCACACAAAGTATCGCATAATTTTTATAATAGAAAAATATTTTTTCAATTTACAGTAATATTGGTCTAATTTAAGGCAAAAATAAATAGCCCAAATTCTAATCTTGTTGGAGATGGACAGTCATAGCAATACGTTGTTGATATATATATATATATATATATATATATATATATTATATATATATATATATATATACATATATATATATATAACATATATATATATATATATATACATATATATATATATATATATATTATATATATATATATATTATATATATATATATATATATATATATATATACAGCGGTGAGTGCTTTATCGCCCGGCTTTTTAACGTAAGAGATAGAAAACACAGTTACCTTGTGCAATAAAAAGAGATGAAACTCGTAAAGGTGGGAAATAATCGATAGAAATCTATAATTTACATTACATTACATTACCACCGTCGATAGTCTCACACCTTTAGACGTTATTATAGTATTAGAAGTGTTTAAAGTCGCTTTAAAACCCGGCAAAATAGCGGAAAGGATAGAAGATGGATTTTGTGAGAAAGAATGAGATAAAGCTGGTTCTTAGACGTGGCTATTTGACTTCAGTCATAATTATACGGATGACCGCGAAAATATTTTATTTTCATAATTTCTGATGTAAGAATAAATGATTGAATAAATTAGAATTAAAGTAAAAAACATTAATTAGTAGCGATTTTAAATTATAAATCTTTAAGTTTATTCAATAATAAAAATAAATCAACTAAAATATTTGACTAAACTAAAGGTAGGTATGTTCTATCCGAAAACATTAATTGTATGTGGAGTTGGTGTAATTATTAGACACGTGGTCTATTGACAAGAAGATTGGGGTTCAATTCCCATCAAGGATAAAATTTTTGTTTTACTCAATCAAAAAATAATAGAAAATATTATACATATTAGGTAAAAAGTTTTCAAAAACTCATTATTTACAATTTATTATTATTCCAATGTTATAAAACGGAAATACAAAATAATTCAAATTCAAAAAGATATTTATGTTAAGTTTAAACACTTCTAATACTAGTAACGACTGACATAAATGTTTAGTGATTCAAATCAAAACGATCTCTGCATAATTTCAAATTATTAAATAAAAAAAAAAAAGAAAACCACATATGGGTTTTGAACTCTAATCGTCTGCGTCACAGTGTCGAATTCTTACCACTAATCCACAAAGGACTGATGTTTATTTCTGTGACAAGAGTGTATGAAACTCCTCAAATCATAGAAATTATTCTTGGTTATTAATTTAAAACTTTAGATTAAATATTCACTAATAATTAATTTATTGTATTAACATTTTTGCTTTTAATTGTGGTCAATCATTTTTTACTTTATGCAAATTTAAAAAAATGTCACTGAAGTACGTTACACATACGACGTCACAAATAATAATTATGACCGAGGTGATTTAGCTGAACTAACGTCTAAAGGTGTGAGACTATCGATAGTGTTAATGCAATGTAATGTAAATTATAGGTTTCTATCGATTATTTCCCACCTCTACGAGTTTCATCTCTTTTTATTTCACAAGGTAACTGTGTTTTCTATCTCTTACGTTAAAAAGCCGGTTGAGAAAGCACTCACCACTGTATATATATATATATATTATATATATATATATATATATATATATATATATATATATATATATATATATATATATATGGACTCCGTTACTGGTATACGAACGAGAAAGACGTGGTTTAAAACGGCTCCGATATTTAATTCGAAAATTCGGGTAATATCGAGTTTATTTATCCACAAAGTGTTTTTCTTGCGAAATAGTGTATGTGTGAATCGAGTGTCATTAGAAAATTGTGAACTAAATCGAGTTTTTTAAAAATCATAACGAGTAACCTAAATAAACAATCAGCGCTGCTAGCTCCGATCTGTTGAAGAGGCAAGTAGTGCGGTACGGGGAACCTTCACGATAAGGACAATAATTAGTGATTATTTACAAAACAATACATAGGCGTGTAAGTGAGAATTTTAACGTCAAAACACTGTCCAGAATAAGGTAAGAGATTTATAATAATTTTTAACAATATGGCCGCGAGAAGAGGATTAAATCAATGGGATAGTGAAGAATCTGACGATGGTAAGAGAAAGAGAGAGGAAAAAAAAAGAAAACGACCAAGATGAAAACCCTTTCATGAAAAGCAGAAAGTTAACTAGGTCTCCACCTAAGAAAGATTGCGATAATACCGAATTGAAAGAAATGATGATCGCTCTTATGAACGAAGTTAAAGGAATACGAAAAGACCAGCAGATTTTTCAAGAAGAAATTAGCAATTTAAAAAAAGAAAATCGCGAGTTGAACGGAAAGGTAAATTTCCTGGAAAGCAGGATCGAAAAGATGGATAAACAAATCCGGAAACAAAACATTGTGATCAAAGGACGCGATTTCAAAGAAAATGAGGAACTGGAAGATGCCACCAACTTTATAGCAAGTCAATTGAATGTGAATGTGAAAATAAAAGATGTGCAGAAAATAAGAACCTCTCAAGGGAAACCACCAGTGGCGATAGTAAAAGTAGATACAATGAAGGATAAAGAGCTTATTATGAAGAATAAGAGCAAATTAAGAGGAACGCGGTATTTCATTGAAAACGATCTAACCCAAGCCGAAGCCAAACTACAGAAAGAGCTAAGAGATATGGCGAGAGAAGAAAAAGGAAAAGGTAATGAAACAAAAGTCGGCTATCAGAAAATATGTATAAACGATGAATGGTGGAAATGGAACCATAGTACCGAAAAACTAGAGAAAATGAAAAAAAACTGAGTCTACACAGGCACAGTGGTCAGGAAAATATGGAAACGAATAAAGCGCGGAATAGGATGATGATAGGACAATGGAATGTTAGAGGAACTTTTGAAGTAGGGGCACTAAAGAACTTATCAGATACGTTAGAGAAATATGAGATAGATATTGCAGCTATACAAGAAACTAAACAAAAAGGAAATTTCACCATGGATGTGGGGAACTACGTGTTTTTCAACAGTGGAGACAATGAACGTGTATTTGGGGTGGGATTTTTTATAAAGAAAACATTTGCCAATCTGATGATAGATTTTGAGGCAGTCACAAGCAGATTATGTAAAATAAGAATAAGAGGAAAATATAGAAAAATAACCTTTATAAATGTGCATGCACCAACAGAAAATACAGATGAAGACGTTAAAGATAGCTTTTATGAACAATTAGAACATATGTTTTACAAAATACCATCATATGACATAAAAATAGTTGTAGGAGATTTGAATGCCAAGATTGGCAGGGAGGATGTATACAAACAAATAACAGGGGGAAAAAGTAAACATAGAGATAGTAATCTGAATGGAAAAAGAGTAATAGAATTTGCTTTCGAACACAATATGCGAATTATGAGCACTTATTTTGATCACAAAGAAATTCATAAAGGTACCTGGATATCACCAGATGGACAAACAGTAAACCAAATAGATCATTTCCTAATAGAAGCCAAACATATGAGAGCCATAAAAGATAGCCGAAGTTACAGAGGTGCTGATGCAAATTCGGACCACTTTTTGGTCAAAATTAAAATGGAGCAAATAATACCCACAATTAATAAAGCTAGTTGTAAAAAAATAAAAATATATAACGGTGCACTACTTCAGGAGGGAGAAGTTAGGAAAAAATTCAGGCAGCAAATTGAAGAGAAACTGAAAAGCCAGACAACAGTAAATGATATAGAAAGCAGATGGGTACAACTAGAAGAAAAAATTCAAGAAGCAGCCGACTCAGTATTATCAAGAAACAGACAATGTAAACAAACGGATTGGTATGATGAGGATTGTAAGAAAGCCATTAGTGACAGAAATAAAGCTAGAATAAATAGCATAATAAGAAATAATGAAGAGAGTAAAAAAGCTTATGCCGAAAAAAGACGGGAAGCAAAGAAGATCTGTAGAAGGAAGAAGCGTTCAAGTTTAGAGCAGAAACTAGTTCGTATTGAAGAAGATTTTTTACATAAACAAGTCAGGAATTTCTACCAAGAAATAAAACGAGACCGAACCCAGTACAAAACCACATCAAGATATTATAAAGATGAAGAGGGGAATCTGTTAGGTGGAACAGATGAAAAATTAAGAAGGTGGGCCAGTTATTTTGAGAACATATTATTATGTACGGACGACCAAGATGAAAGAGAACAAACGCAACTACAACATGAAGAAGTAAGGGACACAGATGTAAATGAAGAAGTACCTACCAAGGAAGAAATTATAGAGATCATAAAAAACTTAAAAAACAACAAAGCACCTGGTGAAAATGGTATCATTGCTGAGTTTTTAAAAGAAGGTGGCGAAATGGTACAAGAAGAAATCGCTGAGTTAATACGCGAAGTGTGGATCAAAGAAAAAATACCCAATCAGTGGAAAGAAGCAGTCTTATGTCCAGTGCATAAAAAAGGAGACGTTACAGAATGTAAAAATTACAGGGGAATAGCTCTACAAGATACAGTGTATAAGATTTTGGCCATATCAATTAGAAATAAAATTAAAACAAAAGTTGAAAATTGTCTAGGTGAATATCAAGCAGGTTTCAGAGCAAACAGATCGGTAACTGACCAAATTTTTACAATGAAACAAATTTTAGCTAGCTCATATGAATTCAACCTAACAGTACACATGCTGTTTATTGATTTTAGAATGGCATATGATACTATAAAAAGAAATAAAGTATATGAAGCACTAGAATATTTTGAATTTCCACCAAAAATAGTAAGACTGACTAAATGCATACTCAATGATACTAAAAGTAAAGTCAT